ATATATACATATATATATACATACATACATATATTTATATAATTGTATAAAGTAAAAAAATAAAAATTTAATACTTAAAAGTTATTAGTTTACTTAAAATACTAAATAAATTTTATATCATGTTTAGTTTAGGCTCCTAAAGTTTAGAGGAGTCAACGTCAAGACAAATCTAATAGTTAATAAATCGGCAATCGAGGTGAGTACTCGTACTTTTAATTTATAATAATAATTTATTTCTTCTCAACTATTTTGTAGTCAATAAACTTTAACATGCTTTATTCTGATTGAGATATTCTTTTCTTATCGCTCATATTATTAAGAATGTTTGTAGTTACTATCATGCATGGTCGTACGCTTTCTAAAGTATGCTAAATTGAATGCGATGAATACATGAATAATATGTTTACATTGACTGCTTGTATGTGCATGATTGACTATGATGAAGTCACATCTTGATGGTAATAATGGAGAAATACTAAGATACACGTGCACGTATATGAAAAAATATATTAATATTGATGTCTTAATGGACACAATTTTTATATGATACTCTTGTGACAATTGTATATATATAGTGTGATATTGATATACTAAGGTTGTTTATATAACATCAAATGTTTTTATTTATTTAAGAAAATATAATAAAAAACTTGACTAACATGTATATTGCTTACATTTCTTTGGTATTATTGTGATTTATGAGTATGCGTATTCACAGACTTATTTAGCTCATAGTTATTTTAAACTAATTTTTCAGGTTAATTGAGTGATTAACCATGAACATTAGAAGAGATCGACATATCAGCTTCCTTATGTGTGAGTCTCCACAATTTCCTTGACCAAAGCTCACTGCAGCCATGAAGCGGGAGTTGGATTTCATTCCTTGACCAGTATTGATTTTTCCTCTTTCATAAGTCAGGCTCACCCTATAATCAACTCGCTCATCCCCAAAGGTTGTTGAATCTCCTTCTGCTTAGAAGGTCATTGCAACAAAAGGCACTAGCATGGTTAGAAGTAGGCCTCCGCTGGGATCCCACCTATGGTGATTCCCTAATCCAAGCTAAAATCTTTCAAATCAATCTTCTCTAGCCATGAATCTCATGTTATCACATTATGTCTGCTGCAGCTCATTCCAAACCTCCAAATGTCGTGCAATTCCCTCCCAATCCTGCCACTCGAATCCGCTCTCGACTCCTTGGCTTGATCCCGCCCGCTTCCAATTGTTCAAGCTGCCTAGATGTCACATTATTCCTTTCAAGTGTTGTCGCTCGAGTTAGCTTTCAATTCCTTTACTTGATCTAGTGACTCCAAATCCGCCTAAAGAAGGGATGCCACACTGATGCCGCACAAATGCTTCAAATTGTTGTCATTTGCATTAGCTCAAACATTGTCGCTCAATCCCGCAGTGGGTGGCAGCGGGTTTGCATGAAACTCTACGACTTTCTTAATCATATTTTCCAAGACAATGAATCTTCCCTCCATGGCCAAGAAACGCTCTTCCATATCAGATCTCATTTGTCTCACCTCTACTAATTTCTCCTCCAAAGCACATACTTTCTTCGCTACCATTTCCCATGACAAATTTTTAACACGAAGGCGGAAATCTTGTACTTTGCGATCCTGTCATTGGCTGCCTAGCTAACTTGAATTGAGATTGTATCACTAGGTTTGATCAAGAAGGAAATGTGCGTCTACAAACTCGCGAATGGAAGGGAAGGATGATGCTCAATTGGTTCGATTTTGGTATGCAAACATTTTGTACGCCACAATCTAGTCATTGACTCCTCAGCTAGCTCACGACTATATTGCAAGGTTCGGTCAGGCGTTGCAGAACTATTTTACACCGCGATCTCGATTGTGAGGTCGGCACAAAACTCTTGTACGCCGCAATCTTGTCTTTGACTTCTCAACTAGCTTGTGACTGTATCACGAGGTTTGGTGATGCAAAATTCTTGTATGTCGTGATCCCAATCACGGGTTTCGGCCACGAAGATGCGGAAGAACTCTTGAATGCCGTGATTCGTCGTTGGCTTCCCAAAAATTTTAAGTGCTTTGATACTTTCTTTGATAGGAACGAGACAAACTTTCACATAAATTAGGGCAGAAATAATAGCTTTTATTCCACCGGTACCAAAACAAAAAAATGCAATCTCGAATACATAAAAACATAAATACCAACAATTCGAGAGGTAGGTGACCTCTCGCAAACTTTATCACCGAAGGCTCAAGATAACAATCACAAACACAACCTAACCCAAAACATATTAATCCCTATTTATGCCCCATAAAAATAACTAAAAAATGATTAAATTGCCCTTTTAGTCTTATGCTTAATATAAGTATTCAAACTATTTTGGCAAGCTCGACGTCGACTTAGTGAAGCACGATACGGAAAGTGCCGCAGGCCTTGGTCTAACAGAGTATCAATGATAAAACCTACAAGATTGATTTACTAGGAGATTACAATATTTCTGCTACATTTCATGTCCCTAGCTTATCATCGTAATGAGGATATGGGTTCTTCAACTGAAAAAAATGAAGCCTCTCCTACTTGGGAAGAGCGACATGAGAGCGGTTGCGATCCCACAATCCTATGCGGGATTGCAAATCGAGATGGAATCCCATCCCATTCCAAAATGAAGCTGGAAAATCTTGCCAGCACACTGTCGCCAAGCCTATGAGCACCTTTTTCTAATATATGAAAGAGAATATGGTAATTTTGAGAGGTAACTATTTATATGTTGTTATTTTTCTAGTTTTGGACTTTTTCTTTGATTTATATAATTGGAAATTTTCTTCTCTAATTTTTCTACCCTAAAGAGTGTTGTATCCTCCTTTCGTAAGTGATGTGTATGTAGCTTGTTTAGAAATAGGTGGTGGATCTCCGTTGGCAGCAACACATCACTGAAACCGCCATTTCTTTGTTCTCCCTGCTGTTTTAAGCCCAGACAACAGCCAACTTTCTTCAATCCCTTTCCAAACTCCGTCTACCTCACATATTCTCTCTCCGTCGCTGTCCCGCCATCTCCCCATTAAATCCGATCTTTAAACAACTTCTAAAACTCAGAATGGAGTCACTTCGTCAAACCTATACTTGAGTGCAAACATCATCTCAGTTCATTTACTCTATTTAACCAGAACCCAAAGTTTAAAACACTGCCAATAGCAGTTACAGACATGGAATCCTCCCATCACAGAGAAGTGCATATCCGGTTTCCTAAAATATACAGCTTGAAGGATATATGATAAATGCATTTTAAAAAATTAAGCATAAAAAGAAAGCCAACTTACAGTTCTTCACGGCGATGTACAAACTGAAGTAAAATTGACTTTTTTTCAAACTTTGGAACCTTATATGCAACAAGCTGCTCATCCTTGATATTAGATAGTGGAATCATCGGGTCTTCGACAAACTGATGGATCTTATGATCCCGAATCTGTAATTAAAGTTACAAAAAAGTTAAGTGTTCACAATAAGTTTCAAGCAGTAACTAACCTCTAAATAATCCAGTGCTAGCCTCCTACAAACCTCAGCAAGAATAAGTTTTTCTCCACCCTTCATCGAGCACGCATTACTGAGAACTTGTATGAGGTCTTTGCAGCGCCCCTGCTTGGGAACATTTACAGTACACGGGGTTGGAGGTGCGCTACCATCACTAGTAAAAACCACAATAGTCATGGAGTTGGAAGACGGTGATTGGAGAGGCAGCGAAAGGTACATGAATGGATCAAAGGTGACTGAAACTTTAAGACACACGGGGCACACTAAAGTGGACTTGTATTGACCCTGTCAAATATTCATTACTTAGAATGATAAAATGATGATAATAATGATAATAATGATCACGCGACTCTCTTCAGTAAGTGACAACCATTATCTAATAGTACAAAACATACAAAGAAACATATAAAATCAATAGTCAAAAGGGGCAAGAAAACTCACTCATATAAGCTCCAAAGACATATATATACCTGCATATTGTGCTGTATGCATCTATATAGTATTATATTACCACACACACACACACACACACACACACACACACAATATTTCTCATAAAAAATATAATAAGCAAATTAAAATTTTATTAAAATACTCTTAAATATTTCTAGCTGTATATTTTTATTATATATATATATATATATATTTATTATTTTTTTTCAGACATGCATACATACATCGAAAAAGTCAATTGACAATATTAATTTTGTGTTTCTACATTCAAATCCATGATAATGATTATTGGTGATGACTTAAAATCTAAGAACAATTTGATTTAATTTGACAATTTTCTATGAAGAATTGATCCTTGTTCAAACTTAATGAAGTGAACAGGTACTTCTTACATGTAATTTTTTAAAATGAACTCTATCAAAACTGATTTAGATGCCTTTTTATACAAGCTCAAAAATTTTTATTTATATCGAGCACAACTACTTTATATATGCTAAAAAAAATTTATAGTCGATGTTGCATGATTAAAAAAATAAAGTGAAAAAATCATGTGGAAAAATGACTTTATACTCTTAAAAGAGAAGTTCTCCATCATATATTGTTGTGTATGGCAAGCATGTTTATATTTTCTTTCTACATAGAATAAAGGGTTTACACAATCTATAAATTTTGACAAAATATTGTAGCATGTAAATAATTATTTGATATTCCACCTTACAAAAATCTATGGATCAAGACATCTACTTTAAGGAGATCAACCGATCCATCTCACCTTTCTTCTAATGAAAAAAGATGAGCGAGTCCATCGTAAATAATGTTTCATGTATCCTGCAATATTGCAATGCAAGTTTATCTGTAGTAACATACTTACATCAAAATCAAGCTTAAACATTAGTGAAACACGTGTCACATAAATAATTGTGTTTTTCCCAAGATGCAGCAGGTCTTTATAATAAAAAAAAAATAAGATAAGCTAGAATGAGTGATCAGTTGTACAGTATAACCATTTCAAAAGACTGTCTAAAGCCATATACTTGAGTAGAATATTTTTTTCCCTTTTCCCATCAGCATCCCTACAGCTATACATCAATGAAGGATGAAGGATACACAAGTTCAATGCCTAATTCAGTCATTCCAAGAGAACACCAATAAAAAAGCTACTAGAGTTGTCATATATGCATTAATACAAAAGATTTCAGTTCCTTTTTTAAAAGTCACAGAAAACCAAACTGCAAACAGCTAATCGTTTGGACAATCAATAAAAGTCAAACCTCTCGCCTTTGAATCCACCTCAACATGTACATGAAGGGACCTAAGCGCATTTTTTTATGTAATGGATAGGTTTCTTTTATCTATATTTTCACTGATGTTTGGAACAGAGTTTATCTATATCTAAGAATGAGATTTCCTATGAGCGCAAGCCTGCATAATTTTTTATCCCTCTCAGTTGCAAACAATTAACGAGGTTGTTTAGGTTCAAAATTTAGGCATAAATTTATTGATTGGGTTTGAATTCAATCCATGGAGAATGCATTGCTGATGGAGGTGTATATGATCATTATCCTATGGCATAATCATTTCATGTATACCTTTGAATCCAATCTACGAACATGTTAACCTCATTTTGAGGTCATTATTCTTTTCCTTAGGATCCTAGCTAGGATCTAGCTCTATTCCTATTGACTATCTTAGAAAACTAGTATTGGAACCCATTCCCTTAGAAATTCTAGCCACTTCCTATTCTCTTGTGATGTCTCGCATTGATGATCTCAAAATCATCGTCGTATGGTCGAGTGGTTAAGGACTATCATGTGGAGACTCAAGGAGAAGTTCCCAATAGGATCTCAAGCCCTAAGTAAACTTCTTCAGGACTTTATCACATATACACACACAAAATGCACAAAATTCACTAAGTTGCACAAGATCGAACTAGAATTGAGCTTAAAGGATGGGTGAAAATACGAACTTCTCTGGACGACCTCCAGTGACGAAATGGACTACTCCGGCGCGTCCGGGACATCGATCCTAGCTAGGGCTAGCTAGGGAGGACACCCATATTGCCATAATTCTGCACACAAGCAAATTGCACGCAAATCGATGAACTTCTCTGAGCAACCTCAGATGACTAAACGGACTGCGCCGGTGCGTCCGGAACATAGATTTTACTTAAGAAAGCATCTATATTGCTTGGGTTCCTTGTAAGTAAGAAATGCACGAATTATTATTTGAATTCGACACGATTATAGAAAAATAGTCAAATGACCTCGGATGACGAAACAGACTGCGCCGACAAGTCCGGAGCGTCAATTTTACCCAAGAAAGATACTCATTTTGCTAGGGTTCCGAACACGAATAAATCACATGCTAATTAATATAATTAAATAATATAATACAATAAAATAAAATAAAATAATAAAAATAAAAGAGAGATTTATTTTAAACCTTATTTCACCTAAACCGCGCTAGCCTCCCTCCCTTCTTCCCAGTCACGGTTTGATCGAAGTCTGCTCGCCCCCCTTGTGCCTTAGCTCCCGCGATCGACCACACCCAAGGCTGCCCGAGATAACCTATAACTCCTGTGTCTCCTCTGTCATTCGCGAACAGGCTCACCCTCGTCTACACGAGATGGCTCACCCTCCTTTTCCCTCACTCGTGTCTCGCCCTCTCGATCCCCGCTCGACCAAGCGGCTCTCCAACGGC